TATGAAAATGAAATGCCTCGAAGTGCGTGCACACGGGCACACAAACTGAGAAAATGACGGAATGCAATCTAAGATACAACCTAGTATGCACAATGCTATGAAAATGAGGTGCCTCAAAGTGCGTGCACACGGGCACGCAAACCGAGGCAACAATAAATGCAATGAAGATAAAGTGCCTCGAAGTGCGTGCACACGGGCACGCAAACCGAGGCGATGGTAAAATGCGATGAAAATGAGGTGCCTTGAAATGCGTGCACACGAGCGCGCAAACCGAGGCGATGATAAATGCAATAAAGATGAAGTGCCTCGAAGTGCGTGCACACGGGCACGCAAACAGAGGCGATGGTAAAATGCGATGAAAATGAGGTGCCTCGAAATGCGTGCACACGGGCACGCAAACCGAGGCTATGGTATGTGTCTCGAAATGCGTGCACACGGGCATGCAAACCGAGGCGATGATATGTGTCTCAAAGTGCGTGCACACGGGCACGCAAATCGAGACGATGACATGTGTCTCGAAGTGCGTGCACACGGGCACGCAAATCGAGGCGATGATATGTGTCTTGAAGTGCGTGCACATGGGCACGCAAATCGAGGCGATGATATGTGATGAAATGACATGGAAATGACAAATGGGCTTATACCAACATGAGTGAGCCTCAGCCACACTCACATCGGATGCCGGCGGATAAAAAAAGAGGTGCCTCGAAATGCGTGCACACGGGCACGCAAACCGAGGCAATGGCGGAATGCGATGAAATGGCATGGAAAAGACAAATGGACTTATACCAACATGAGTGAGCCTCAGCCACACTCACATCGGATGCCGGCGAGTAAAAAAGAGGTGCCTCGAAATGCGTACACACGGGCACGCAAACCGAGGCAATGGAAAATGCAATGAAATGGCATGGAAAAGACAAATGGACTTATACCAACATGAATGAGCCTCAGCCACACTCACATCGGATGCCGGCGAGTAAAAAAGAGGTGCCTCGAAATGCGTGCACACGGGCACGCAAACCGAGGCAATGGCAAATGCAATGAAATGGCATGGAAAAGACAAATGGACTTATACCAACATGAGTGAGCCTCAGCAACACTCACATCGGATGCCGGCGGATAAAAAAAAGGTGCCTCGAAATGCGTGCACACGGGCACGCAAACCGAGGCAATGGCAAATGCAATGAAACATGGCAAAAATGATATGCAAGCATACTAACAGAATTTCAGCAACAAAATATGGGGGAAAAAAGTCACGAAATGAAGCGAAATGACATGAAATGCAAGGAAACGTCCCGAAATGCAACATTAGGCATCCGAAATGGCCTATAGCCATGCCAAACATGCACAATATGGACATGCAATGCAAAGACAGAAGCTAGACAGTCCCAAAAGATGCACTTTTACAGTTATAAACAAGGCCAAGACAACAAGCATAAGGTAAGGGAAGAAATAGGATCAAGATAGGGGCCAAAAAAGAGGGGTAATGAAGCAAGTGGTATAAGCAACCCAAACTGAAAAATTTCCTTCTACAACACTGAAGATGGACCAAAAAATATGAACATTTAGTATATGGAACCGCTAAAATCAGTATACAAAATGCTAAAAATGTGATGCAATAAGCAGGCTCAAAAGGTGCTAAAACATGAAGTATACAAAATAATCACCAAAATAGAAAAAAAGTGTTATGAAACAAGAAGTATAGCCAAAATAAGACCACTTTCAGTTCGGACCAAGGTCCAAAAACAGAAGCAAAAGAGGGCTACCAATTTATGCAAAAATGGGGCAAATAAGGGATTGAACTACAAGTGACACAGGAGAATACCAAACAAGTTGAGCCCTTCTCCAATGTTGAAGAGGGCTCAAAATAAGCCTTATATCAGTTTACAACATGCTCGAAAATAAATTTCTACATGGGTCCAAAAATAGCAATCAAACTATGACATACAAAGATGATCATGAAGGCAAAGTTGGTATTAATGGAGGGCTCAAACAGGGTTGAAGCCCTGATGAGAAGTAAGATGAGCTCAAAAGATGGCCCTTTTCAGTTAGGGGCCCGGAGCTTGAAACAAAAAGGAAGTGGGGCTTAGAAAATAGATCAAGAAAAAGGGTCAAAAGGGGTAAAGTAGTATACTTACCTTGAAAGATTCATAACTTTTGTTGGCTTCTTGGATGTTTGCAAGCCTTCTTTAGCCTTCAAAGAATCCTTCCTTGTTGCTGAAATGAGATGGTGGTGTAAGAAGCTTGGTGTGTAGAAGGAATGATGGTTAGGGGGTTAGGGGTTTTTTTTGAAGAAATTGAAAAAGGAAGAAGATGGAGTTTGGCTATGGAGACTTGAAGAAGTAAATTTTCTACCCTTACAAAGAGGCCATTCAAGCTGGTTATAAGGGTTCAAAATGGGGTGTAAAAAGTTTGTGGGGGAGAAAGGAGAAGTAAAAAAACTCCCCCACAAATATCCCCGGATACAAAGAAAATAACTGGGGGATATTGCCCAACAGCTTTTGTTAAAGTGCACAGTGCAAGGAACACGGCCGGCCTACACTTTAGCTTGGAGGTGGCGCCCGCCCACCCCTAGCCGGCCGGCTAGGGGTCAAAAAAGGGTCAATGTGGATTTTCTGCCGGCCACTACTTGAGAGGTTACCCTTATGTGTGTAAACATACACAAAACCATGTGGTTAAAAGTCCAAGAAGTGGGTCCAAGGGGTTCAACATTAGCCCGGAAGAAGGGTTCAACAAAGGGTCAATGGAATTAAACTAAGCCGGCCAGAACTTTTAGGGGCCTCTCATGTGTGTAGCATCACAGATATGTTGTTCAATGAAGTCGAGAAAAAGGGGTCCAAGGGTTCACATTTAGCCCGGAAGAAAAAGGGGTCAAAAGGGTCAGTGAACTTAATGGCCGGCCACTCAACATTTTAGTGCCTCCCAGTTGGTAGATCACAGATATGTGGTTCAAAGTTGGGCAAACACTAAGCTCCAAAGGTAATTCAACCTTAGCTCCGGAAAGCTTGGAAAAACGGGCCGCCGGGAGCTCCGGAGGAGAGATAACTGGCTGCTGCAACAATTGCTGGCCTCCCACCCTTCAGTGACCTTCCTTGTGATAAAACAGAGGTACCTGCCAAAAATGAGCGAAAACCGTTGCAAAACGAATGTTCCGGAACCAAAACACGTAGTTCGGGGTCCCGGAAATGGGCTGTTAAGCACCGAAAATTGTATTTGACCTCGAAGTGGGTTTCTCAGCCCTCAGTGTCCCTCAAAATGGATGAAATAGGATGTATGCCAAAAATCAGAGCAAACGGAGATGGTTAGGTGGTCCCGAACCGAGGCACACGGCCTGACGGCTCCGAAAACCGGGAACCGGACTCCGAAATGGGCAAAATGGCCTACGGCCACCAAATGTAGCCTACGGACATTGAGAGATGGTCTACGGGACCTCTCTCTCCCCTCAGGGAAAGAAACAGAGAAAACCGAGTCAGGTTCGCAAACCGAGACAAGGCACAGAAAAGGGTTCGGAAGTCCGGAGGCAGGGCTTACGGCCGCGACCCTGAAACTTCTGAACAAGCACATTATGCAACATCACCAAGCGCTCAATCGGTGACGTCTGAGTCTTATGGTCGGTCAAAAATGGGGTGTCTACAGATGTCCATTCAAAATCACTACCAACAACTTTAAAAGGATTCCAAATTAAACAAGGCCGATAAAGAATACTATGCATTAGCAATAATTGAAAACAAGCTAAAAAAATCGTAGAAAAATTAACTCACTTCAGCTTATTTTGCTATTCATTCATTAGTTTTTAAACCAATTATGCTAGCTGCTAGGCTCATCACATAAAATAGAATATAATAGGGATAATTACATTTTACCCCCTATGGTTTAACGCTTTTTCACATTACCCCCCTGACGTTTATAAATATACTCATAAGCACCCTGTGGTTTTGACTAAAGTGCAGAAGTGACAAGAACCAGCAGAGTTAACAGGGCGTGTGGAACACGCGCTAGAGAAGCGCGTCTTCCCTAGTTTTAAGTGTTTTGGCACCAAAATGGAAGTGTGAAATGACCAATTTGCCCCCAATTTGGCCAGCCAATTGCCTATATAAACATGAAGCAACCAAACAGATTTTTTCAACCAAAAAAATTCCAAACCCACTTTTCTAGAAAAAAAAAAAATTCTAAACCCACTTTTTTTTACCAAAGAATTTCTAGGACCACTTCCATTATTAAAGATGTCTTCTTCTCAAGGTTCTCACTATAGTGGACAAAGTTTAGCTCGTACATGCTACTATAGCCAAAGATCTCCGGTTAGAACAACTTGGACAAATGCAAATATGGGAAAAAGATTTATAGGTTGTGCAAATTATGGGGTAATCACTTTCAATATTTAATAATGAATTAATTTATTTATTTATTTGTTATGTTATGTTATATAATATTGAAAAAAATCTAAACTTATTTATTAAAAATTTCATATTCATGCCACTTGTGAATATTTTGAATGGATTGACCCACCATTATGCCGCTGCTCACGTGATCTACTACCAAGACTCGTGCAACGAATAAATCATATGGAGTTAGAAGTGGAAAAGGCTCAAAAAAAAAAAAGAAAAGTTGTATCGAAGAATGTTACTAGGAAGTTGGATACTATTTTTATTCTATATTGCAAGTACTCTCAAATGAAAGCAAAAAAAAAAAAAGAAGGAAAAAAAAAAGTGCTATGTAACCTAATATGAGGAAGGAAGATATGTAATATTGAAGACTATTTTTTCTATAAATGAAACATATTTTTGAAGCATTATGCTGTTTGACTGTCTAAGACCAACAGTTCAATAATTCAATTACAAGACCTGTGTAACATTCCAACATGTGAAGCATGCTCATTAAGCATCAATATATCAACATATGTTTACAAAACCTGCTCCCAATGACCAACATGTCAACAATTCAATTACAAAACCTGTATAACATTCCAGCATGTGAAGCATGTTCATTAAGCATCAATATATCAACATATATTTACAAAACCTGCTCCCTAAGACCAACATGTCAACAATTCAATTACAAAACATGTTTTAATGTCAACAACAATCCAACATATCAATTACAAAAACTTGTGCATTCCAACATAAGATAACAGTTTAAACCCTAAACAAAAAAGAATAGGTATTGTGAGTATAATTCAATAACATTCCAACATGTCAACAACATTTCAATTACAAAAAACTTCTTCTATTTCAATTCATTCCAGCTGTTGCAAATCCACTTCCACTTGCACTTGCACTTGCACTTGCACACTTGCACTTGCACTTGCTTCACAAGACATTGTTGGCTGTGATTGAGTAGTGACAGCTGGTTGGAATGAAGATGGATGAGTACTAGCAGCTTGTTGGGATAAAACAGGATGAGTGGCAGATGGTTAGGATGAAGATGTGTGTCTTGCAGCTTGTTAAGATGAAGCATTTGAGAACTACAATAACAATTCAATTCAAATTGAAATGCATCAAATGAAACTACTAAAATTGAAATGAATTTAGTTTCTATACAAATGAAATTACTAAAATTGAAATGAATTTACCTTGCTTGGTTGACTTGCAGATTTTCTAGAGCTGGTTGTTGGTCCATCCCTCCTCTTGAACATTGTGGATTTCTTGTGTACTGGACCTTTGCATGATCTTTTGTTGTGTCCAAAACCCATACACTTTGCAGATTGCATAGTTTTGTACTTCCTTGACACCCACTGTACATTCTTGGCCTCATCAGCAGCTTTCTTCCTCTCTTTTCTAGGCCTCCCTACTAGTATTCTATCGTAAGGAAGGGCTATGGCATCATATCCAGTCTCAATCCAATCATGTTTCCCTGGCACAGGATTTATCATGAAAGAATATGTCCTTAAGTATGTCTCCTTGCTAAAGTAATTATGCACATAAGCTTCAGGTTTCTCCCTAGTAAGGTATATACAACTTATGGCATGTTTACAAGGTATACCTGTTAGATCCCAATCCCTACACCCACATGTTCTTGCCCTCAAGTCCGCTACATGAGTTATATCATAACAATCCACCTCAAACTTTAACTCACCTGCAAAGCTAGCAAAGCAATTCCTAGCATCCTCTTTGTTTGACTCTAATTTTTGTTACATAGTTGGACAAATAAAGCCACCATGTTTTTCCATTTCATTTTTCTTCACTTGTATTATGTTCATCAGTTTCCTCCTAATCCACTCCACCATTGAGATGATTGGTTTATCCCTTGCTGGCAAAATGTACTTGTTGAAAGAGTCACTAAGATTATTCACTTGAATATCACACTTGGATCTTGTGCTGGAGTAAGACTTGGCCCATGTTTCAGGATTCTCTTGCATCAACCACTCATTTGGCTTGTTTTCTTTGTCCAATTCCCCCAACTTCTTCATATGATAATCAAACTCTCTTCTTATCCCAGCCTTTGCAGATTTCCACCTCAATTCCTTAAACTCTTTTTCCCTGAACTTCTATTTGAAGTTGATGTAGAAGTGCCTCAAGCAATACCTATGCTCAACATTAGGCAAAATCTGTGTAAAGGTGTGCACCAATCCTTTTTGTCTGTCTGAAATGAATGTCCACCCAATGTCACTGCCAGCTCCTATGTCCTCTACTAATTGGGTCAAAAACCATACCCATGAATCCTTGCATTCAGCCTCCACTGCAGCAATGGCAATGGGAAACATGTTGTCATTCCCGTCAACACCAATGGCTGCTAAAAGCTGGCCCCCATCTATGCCCTTCAAAAAACAACCAACCCAACAACAGGCCTGTAACCTTGTACAAAACCTTGCTTCTGTGCATCTAGTCTAATATACAACCTCTTAAAAACAGGTGTAAGTTGTCTGTTAGGCCTTTCTACTTCATTATCATCTTCATCAACTATAGGTCTGTCCAATTTAATCACTAAACAACTGTTTGGATTATGTTGTTTGATTGTCTCACAGTAACCTCGTAGTCTAGCATACTGCTTCCTCAAATCCCCTTCATTTGTTTCCTTTGCTTTTCTTTTTGCTCTACACACTTGACTCTTACTTACATCAACCATTAGTTCTCTATGAATGTCTTTTTGCATGGCTGAGATCACTATGTTAGGAGAATGCCTCAATCTTTTAAGGTATTTTTGTGATAAATACCTTGAGGTAACTAGATGGTTGTCATAAGTCCTACCACATGAATGAAGTAGTTTTAAGCTTTTGATCTGAAATGTGCTTTCATTTTGCATTGGGGATGCATGAATTCTAAACCCACACTCTTGTTTACACACAGCAGTAATCCTCTTATTTTCATTTCTAACCCACTTCAAATCATATCCCTGTTGCACTTGTCATTCCTTTAATGCATTCCTAAAACCTTATGCATTCTTAAATCTCGTCCCCACTTTGAGTTCAGGTTTCACCATATCCACATCCTCATTAAATTCTACAAACCTATCATGCATTTCCTCCCCATCTGATGATCCATACAAAGTATGCATCTCAAAATCTTGATCTAAATACCATTCATTAGAACCTGAAGCATTTGGTTCATTTCCTACATTTGTCTCAACACCCACATTTGATTCTACCTCCATATCTTTATCAACATAAGCAAATATATCTTCATCTTCACTACCCTCTAACCCATCATTCATCCACTCTGGATCTATGCTATCATCACCATCAGAATCATTCTTGTCCTTATCACCCCCCCTATTCTTCTTCAATTTCAATCCCATTTCCGCATTCATCTTCTTCCATTTCAAGCCCATTTATCCCTTCTTCATCCAATTCTATTGTGCTTCTATTTATGGAATTTGTGGCCCTTTTATGACTTCCCTATTTGGACCTAAGACCTGAAGTGCCTCATGACCTTTCTCCACATACAAGGCAACCACATTCAGACCCATATAATGGAATAACATATCAATTACATCCCTATCTGAATTCATCTCCCTAAGACCAATGTCCAGTATTTCCCCAGGAACTCTATAATGCAATTGGCTAGTAGAGGGATAACCTAGGCTCAAGTACAACTTCTGAAAATCAAAAAACTCAACCCTATCTGGATCAAAGTACTGAAAGTAATTAACTTTCCCTCCCTTATACACTCTATTTGGAGGCTTAGTAAAATAATCTCCATGATGTAACTCAACACTAAACTCGGTTGCCATCACCTCACACTAATTAATCATCCAAGACACAAAAGACAAAAATAATACATAAACAAATCAATGCCTCGACATTAGAACACACAAAAGAAAAAAAGGAAAAAAGAAAAAAAGAATCCATAGTCACACTTATTGTCTCCCAATACACAAAAAATAGTTAGGGAACCACAAAAATCATAGTCATGCATCAAAATCAACAAAACCCCAAATCTATGGCCATTGTTGCATCAAAAATTAAAAAAATTCCCAATTTTTTATTCTAGATATACACAACAAACAGTTAGCAGACCACTATAAACCCCACCTCCACGTACAAATATCATAGTCATGCATCAAAATACAAACTCTACCAAAAAAGCCAACAATCGGACAACAACCTTAATAAAAAGGTAACAACAAGCCAACAAACATACATCGTAAAGCAAAAGCCCTACCAATAAAGCCCTTTTTTAAAATTTTTGAAAAACTCAACCATCAAACAAGTCATTTTCCAAACATATTATACAATAAATTTACCAAATCGCAATCAAACCAGCAAATAGTCACACAAAACAGATTTTTTGTAGGGTTTGTTGATTGTTACCTGGAGTAAAATTTTGAAAAGAAGATTCTTTGTAAATCCTTTGAAACCCTAACCCAGATTTTTTGTCAATCCTTTGAAATCCTTCAATTGTTACTAATTCGATTTGCAAATCCTTTGAAACCCTAACCCATGTGTATCTCTCTCTTTCTCTCTAAAAATCGTAGTCAAACAACTGAAGGGACTGTAGCATATAAGCAATATGAATATCTAGGGGTATTCTAGTCTTTTCCAGCATTCTGCCATGCCCCGTCACTTTTGCACTTTAGTTAAAACCACAAGGTGTTTATGAGTATATTTATAGACGTAAGGGGGGTAATGTGAAAAAGCGTTAAACCACATGGGGTAAAATGTAATTATCCCTTTATTATTTTATATAAAAATAATTTAACAATCCCTACACCAATAACTATCATAAAAAAAAAATACAATTTTACTTAATCCCTTCGCTATCAATCCTTCCACTATTAATTCTTTCACTATCAATATCTTCCACTGTACTTTTGAAAACAAACGGGACCTACAGAAGAAACAACCCAAAAGTAGAAGAAATAAATAGAGAACAGTGCCAAAAATTAAATTCAATTAAGTAAACAAATCTTTACAGTAATACCTTCGCACTTCATAGCCTCGAAGGAGAATTACAACGGCGAACAGACTAACTTAGAACTACTCCTAAGAAATGGAAATACAATGCAAGAAAGTAAAAACTGGAAAGAAAATGTAAAATAAATAAACTGGTTTCTGGATCTAGTTCTGGTGCCTTCACTGTCAGCTTTCTTTTCTATTTATATGCTCTGCTGGTAACTGTCGAAGTGGCTAGAAATTGCCGAAGTAACCTCCATGAACGTCGAACATGGCTCCAAATAGTTTGCTTCCACTAAGTTACACTTACAGTTGAACTTTGCTCCTGAATTTGAATTTGAATTTGAATTTTCCATAACCATTTGGCCACGTCACCTTACTCATCTCGATTGTTCCAGTACTTCGCAAGTCTATTGCTAATGATACAATTTGCCACGTGTCCTTCACTGGTTGGATACCTTCTTCAATTCTCCAAATAGAAATGGCAGTTGCAAAAAAATTATAGATATAATTTTCCTTCAATGAAATAAGACATTAATTTGAGATTGACTATGATTAATTGAAAATCAAACACGACGTGATGGTTAAAGATCACAAATAACGAATTGAAAGTGTTGTGGTACCATAAAAATATTTTGGACTAATTACATGATGGTTCTCCAATATGCATAGTATGACACATTAGCCCAAAAATTGTATTTGTTGCGTTAATATATAGTTCTTGAAAGTTCAAAATATGTAGTATGCTCTACTTGACCCAAGAGCCAAGACAAGACTTGGGTTCAACATGGATGAGATAAAAGTGAATTTTGCCCATGTATTTGTCCTGTATGCTTGGTAAACAAAAAAATACAATAAAATAAGTATTTTATTTTTATTTTTAAAATTCAAGATCCAAACATAGTGAATATTAGTTTTTATTTTTTCAAAAGTTAAATAAAAACCAATCAGAAATTCAAGTGTTTTAAAAAGAATAGCGCTATAGAACAATAATGAGGCTAAAATGAGTATTATAGACAACAAAAAACTCTAGTACTGCAATAACTAGATGAACTAGAATAGGGAACAAAACACACGCGCACAGGCGCGCGCACACACACACACACATTTTACAGTGCTGAGTAGTCAAGAGTTTATATTCGGACAATAAGGCAAAAAAACAAAAGTAGTCTCATTATGTGTACAGTGTAATAATCAAAATAATTAATGGCCCTGCTTGGAGCTGAGAATTTGTCAAAGTGTTTGAAACAATTTTTACTTACAACTTATAAGGCAAAAATAACTTAAATAAGACTTAAAAATAATTTGTTATTGATAAGCCAGCCTATGAGAGGGATGCATTTACTTTCTACTCTCTAATTTTTAACTTACAGTTTGCAAGAAAATGCACAAAACAGGCTCAGTGAGACACCAATTATTCAAGAGACTACCTATGCAAAGGAATCAATGAGCATCAAATGCATTTCTAGGTAAAGCTAGGCAAACATGCGAAGCATTCAATATGTCATACACCATGATTTCAAGTTAAAAAAGAAAGAATTTGACAAACCAAAGAATGACAAACTTTTATAACAAACAAGTTAAAGGTACCAGCTTAAAATACCACAAGTTATCTAGATATAATATGAACTTGTTGGTCCTTCTGGCAAATTATGTAAAACTTCAAGCATCATAAATTCAATAATGAACTATTATTAGATTTTTAGTCTAGTCACTAATACAATTATTGAATGTTTAACAAAGTCTTCTTGTAACTCATATCTATAGGTGAGAAACCAAATTATAGTAGTAGGTTGTAAAACACTAAAAATGTTAGAGTTCTACAAATGTTCCTAATAAAGGTTGAAACCTAAGATACAGTCCACAAAATGTCCTTGGATGACTCAGAGAAAACAAGTGAAAAAAAAAAACAAACAAACAAACAAACAAAAACAAAGAATAGAATATTTAACAATAGATATTTGAAAATTTGCAACAAAATTTTATAACTTTCATTTTTGCTAAGAAAATTCTATTTGGTACTAGCTATATAAAATGCTTTTAAAATATTTTTTTTTTTATATTTATTTATAATTTGAAATTAAAATTATAGTAAGTTTATGTAAGTATAATTGCTAACCACATCTTTTTACTTTTGTAAAATATTTATATTGACTACCTTTTTCAGGTTTATTTTTTCTAAGTATTTATATAGAAGTAAAAAAATGTCGTTAGGAATAAATTTTTCCTTAATTTAGTTATAAATTTTGTCTGTACATGTGGAAAGGATTATAGCAGATTGTAATTTTTTTTTTTTATGTTGGGATACAGACTGTAATAAATACAATATATGTCCAAAATGTTAATAAGTACACTACATAGCATGGTGGTTCATGACCCTTTTTCTCTCCAAGTTATTTGGGTTCAAGCCCTTTTAACAACTATTTTTATTTTATT